TTTGCAAGTGGTGGTGGTGAGTTCACCTAAGACAATCCTCACAATGTACAGGGTGTCATTCTGCTGAGGAGGTTCTAGCTCTATTTCACCAGCATTTACTAAAAATCTACTAGGCACAAGTCTTGATCCCAGGGCCTGCTAAGAGTTTTCACTCTTGTCCCTGTGTCTCTGGTAAATGTTCCCCTTTCTCTATTACCAATAACTCATTGAGTTTAGAGATCTAAAACTATTTTAGTGGAATTATTGAATTACATACTCCATTCTAATGTTAGGAGTATTTTTCATCTTAGCATTGCCCACAGAAATGAAAAGGAGTGCTAGGAACATCACAAACAGTCAATAAATGCTTCTTGAATGACCAGGCAAGACCAGTCACAACTATAATTTGTTGTATATTGTGCCTAACAGTTATAGGAAGACTACTTTGATCCTCCCCTCCTGGAAAGTCACACTGGAGGGTTCTCATCAGCTATCATGCTATATACATTCCCAATAGCCAATAACAACCTTCTTAGTCTTTGTTACTCCTAACATTTGTAACTGAGGCCACCTCAACCCCACCTATAGGCTCAGCTTCACTGTGACTCTAGGACCACTCTATTCCTAGGTAGGGGAACATGAAGAAAAACTATGTTGTCTGTGTTCTGGCACATTGTATGGAGCTGGCCTTTCCAAACATCACATCACACACAAAAAAAAATATTGAAATTTTAATTGTGAGCAATATCCTCGCATTTGGCATTTGTTCAAGCTACTAGTTAGACCACTGATATCCCCAAATCTTCCCTCCTTTATACTTTAATCCTCTTGCCTTTGGGCTGTAGACCCTTGGTCTGACCACTTGTTTCAAGTCACTTCTCTAACAACTACCCTTATTTCCCTGCTTCATTTCACTTTGTATAACCCTACAGCCTCAGAGCAACCACAATTCTGGATAATATATACCCAATCTTAGCCATAAGGGGCCTCTTAATGATTTCAGGCTTCTTTTACAGGTGAGGTGTTTAACATGTCAGTTGCCTTGCTTCTGGTCCTACTCCAACCTTGACTAGTGGGTTTCAGCATTGGGGGATTACTTGTTCTTCTTTAATTCCTACTTTATACTCCAGTCCCTGAAATTCGATATGTCCTATTTTCTTGGGCCTTTCCTTTGGACTTTTTGACTGTGTCCTGCTCCTGAAATAAAAGTCTTCATGATTGGATCTTAAATTCCAGACCTTCTAAACCTTTGCAGCTCAGATCCTACCCAATTAGATAATTTGTATCCCCCAAGTCACCCAATTCCAGCAACTCATGGTCATCTTCCCTTTAGTCCTCCCCCAATTAAACTCCAGTGAAAGACAACCAAGAATTCATGAATACATATATATTTATTTAATTCATAATATAGCATTTTGGATAGGCTGGGATATTTAGAGAGGGATGAGACTGTGCAATCCACAGAAGCTCATATTTCTGTCACCAGGAGAGACACTACTGGTCCAGAGCTCCCAGTACAAACAAGCTCAGGGTAAAGCATTTGATAAAAAATAGTCCAACAATAGTCTAATAAATATTCTAGCCAATAACAACAACACAGCATATGTCTGAAGCTGGCAGATCACACCATAAAAGGCAGTTTTGCCTGACCTAATGGCAATAAGTCTGGCCAACTTGAAGTATACAGCCAAATACAGCCCAGTGGCTCTGAGACTGCAATTGACTTCAGGAGCTATATGTGTGGGAGTGGTTCAAATCTACCTGCCTCACATTGTCCATTCCTTGGAAGAAAGGGTTTCAAACATTTGAGCTTATTCAAAAGTCCATCCATGAATTGCTCCATCCAGGTAGTCATATATAAATATGTAAACCAAGGAAGCTTAGAAAATTCACCTAGAATATTTTAGCTGAACACAATGTATAAGTGGATTTTGCTGTAATCTGAATTTCACTGCATCCAAAGATACACAATGGAATTACATAATAAAAACAGCCAGATGCAGTTACTTACTTATAAGTAGCCAGAACCTCAATATGACATTAAAATTTCTTTCATATTCTCAAAACAAGCTTAGCTTTATTTTGTGCTTTCTTTAATAAGACAATATAAAAAGTGAAAACAAGCATAAATTGCAGACAGAAATAATTTTCCAGCAGAAAAAGTTGTGAAGAATAGAGTACAGCAATACTACCAAAGCTATGGAGTCACCTTCCTTGAAGATGTTAAATACAGGTCCCACACCCTTTTGTGCAACTGGGTTCCACCAGAGGTAGCCAATGGCTTCTTTTAAGGCCTCTGGCATTACCAGGATTCTATGACAGTTTTTAAGTTACTGAAGTTAATATCTGGGAAACAATGCACCCCTACTGAGTACTTTGCCACTGCATTCTATCTTGGGAGTTACTTCATGATTTGGCTCAGAAGTTGGGACTTTAGAGTCAAATTTCATTACTTACCTCCAAACTCTGTTTAATTTCCCAATTTATTCAGTAGACTTAACTCTGGGTGATTTTTGCCTACAACCAAAACTTAAATCCACCTTCAAGAACAAAGTTTGAAAAAATGATATGTTATTGAAAAGAATGGTGCCACTTGGTCCAAAGAGAACTCTCCAAGATAATTGCCAAAGTATTTTTAAGGAGAACAATGCTCATTTACATGTGTGAGCCTTGGTACATCTGCAAAATAATATCAATACAGACTAAATGGAGAAGCAATCTTTTCTGCCCAGCAAATAACAAATACTGCTATGAACATCAGAGTACAAAGAGAGGAATTTTGATTATTCAGTTGTTCACTCATACATTCATTCAACAAACATTAGCCAGGCAATTACTCTGCTCCAGACACTGTGCCAGGTATCAAAAATACAACAACAACAACAACAATAGCAATAAAAGACACAGCCCTTGCCCTCAAGTATTCCCAGTCTATTAGGTAAGATTATTATACATTAAACTTTTGTGTGCATCAGAGTAACCTGAGAAGCTTGTCAAAAATGTAAATTTCCTTCTAGGTTCCCAGATATTCTAATTAAGTAGGTCAAGTGGGGGAGTGGGGTCCAAGAATCAACTGTTTTAAGAAACAAATCACCAAAGGTGGTTCTAACATAGATGTTCTGAGGATGAACATTTAAAAACACTGCTATGCAATGTGATTATTGCTGAGAGAGGGGAATACTCAGGAAGCCAGGGGAGCTCCAAAGAGGGACACATAACCCAGGCTAGGAAGAGTTAGTCTGGTTAAGAAAGGCAGGGTGATGAAATGTAGTGCAGGCTATATTTAAAAGTAGGGTGCAGAAATTAAAGCTTTGTCCCCAGGCACTAAAATCTAAAGGACACAAAAACAAATGAATGCCTTACAAATAAATGAATGGGGAGGAGATTAATATGTATGGCATGCTTACTAAATGCCAGGTGTTTGTTGTGCTAGGCAATTGACGCATGCCATCTTTTAAAATCTTTGAAAAAGCCCTGTGAAGCAGGAATTATTTTACAGAAAGAAACAGAGGCTCAGAGAAGTGAAGTACTTGCCCTAGGTCACGCTGCTAGTAAATGACAAAGAAAGTAGGATTACTTTAATATCATGCCTATGAGTTTTCCATGACACCAAGCTATTTACCAGTGCTGCTGAATCTTACTAAGGTTGTTCATTTCCCCATTAGCAGTAAGTATATATGGTCATTAAAGCCAAAACAGCTGACTGTGTCACTAGATATGTATATTTGAGTCTTGCTTTCCATGTTAGGTAAACAAACAATTTATAAGTGTTATTGGGTGGGATTTATATAGACATTTCATCTTTTCTGCAGAATAGTAAGTCCTTTGATATCAAGGATTATATTATATTAATATGTGCTCTCTTGTGGCAGTAGTGTGGTACCTGGCATCTAATAGTTTACTAAACAAATTAATACATGAGCATTCACTAAGGCTGTGTGAAGGAAGAGGGAAGATGTTTTGACAATGCTTCAAGGCTCCAATCTGGGGGGTTGCTACACTTATCACTTCATAATTGCAAAACAGTAGTATTTTTACAACTCCCAAGGAGTAGACTCCTTGAAGCAAACTTAGCTCTTGAAAGGGAGAAAGCTCTGGCTCTCTGAAATCCCCAACCTCTTCAATGGAACTCTTAAAATCACAAACCATGAAGCTCAATTTCCTTAAACTATCCTGCTAGGACTAAGAGGGAGCTTATGTCTGCATTTGCCACGAAGGGGTGGTTAAGTAAATGAATATTGTAAAAACATTGCAAATGGAATGAGTATTTAATCTATTTAGGAAAACAGACTATTCTCATGCATTCTTAAGCACTTCAGAAGTGTTCTATCTGAAAATACAGGTACATTTATATGTAAATAGTTGTTGCACCTATAACACTCCATTCTTACTGATCAAGTAAAGCAAGTTCCTGAAGAAACTATTATGCAGTTCTTTTTTACCCTAATTCTAGTAACTGTATGTACTTGAAACTAATACACTCTATTTCTTTGAAATATTCTGTTACAGAATTTTTAAGAATTCAAATGAGCCCTCCATTAAGCAGCATCAATGAAACTGTTATACAGGAAATTTTTACCTGGATCAGTTTTCTACCTAGCAATAGCATCTTTTGTGCAATCTTGTTCCCAAATCTCTTAATCTAACCAAGAGTTCTTCTTAGTGCTTATGTCTTGATTGTGTGTGTGCGTGCATGTGTGTGTATGTGTGTGTATGTGACAAGAGGGATGAAGGGTGGGATAGACGGAGAGAGGGAAGGAATGTTCAATGATATCTGTTTCTTTTAAGGAACAAAAATGAATGTATAGTGTAATTTATTTTCCTTTCCAGAATATTTCTCACTCAAATAAACAAATTTAAAAGTTTATTGCATGTATATATATAATATATATAAACGGAACTCATTTTATATATCATATATACACGTGCATGGTTTCCTTACAATAATCCCTTGATTGTAAGGTTTTTTAAATTAAAAAGTGACATACGATATGATATGCAATAATTTGACATTGCTCAAAATTCTCCTTGGCCAAACTGGCCAGTACTAGAAAGGATGACCACTATTCCCAGTTCTGGCTGACTAACCCTTTGTTCAGAGCATTCTTTCTCCATTATGTACCTAGAATTATCCTAATTCTTTCCAATATCATCTGTACTCTAAAATCATTGGGAATTTTCAATTCTCCAATGATAGCAGAGGCGTTCTCTAAATTTCTTCTCCAATGGCTTGAACCCAGACTACTCAGATAATTTGTTCTGAGAAGCTCAATACATTAATTCAAATACAAGCTTTAATGCACAAAAATTAAATCTACAATATCTAGTTATTTTGGATGCTCCAAATGAACTTTATTTTGTATCTCGTATATTGAACACTAACCAAGGTTTAAGAGGGAAAGAATTGCTGAACAGGAGAGCCAGTGAATTATATGCTCTCTTGAAACTTAATGGCAAGCTTTCATCCCAGACACATAGGGAGATTCTTGAGGCCTGCAGTTGCATTCCTGACGCTCAGGGTAATCAATAAAATCTGGGGCAGGCAAGCCAGACAAGATCATTAGGGATTTGTTCCAGATTGTGAATGTTGGACAAACTGGAAGAATGAAGGTCACATCAAAAGTATGAAGATGGAGAGAGTTAGCTGGGTCATAGAAAGACAGCATGTTGTTGTCATAATCCAGGAGCACACCTAGACGCTTCAACTGTGGAGGCACATCCACCAGCATTTCCTTGTTGTTATGTCTCACCACAAAGTTACTATTGCAGCGAGAAAAGACCCATGAGGAAGCATTCTTGCCAATCCATTCATTCTTTGGAGCTGATTTGTAGGCAATACCAATTGCATACCTGAGAGACGGCAGAAAGGACAGAGAAGAGAACGTTTATGAATGATCTGAGTTGTGCTAGACACCATACAAGATATATATGAAACAGAATACATACTTCTTCCTTAGTTTACATTTACATGCATAATTTTTTTTCTTTTTTGGTACTGGGGTTTTGAACTCAGAGCTTCACTCTTGCTACCACTTGAGCCACTGTGCCAGTCCTTTTTTGTTTTTGGTACTTTAGACATAGCTAAGACCTTGAGAGCTATTTGCCCAGGCTGGCTTCAAACAGTGATCCTCCTGATTTCTGCCTCCTGAGTAGTTAGGATTATAGCTGTGAGCCTCCAGTGCCCAGCTACATGCATAATGTTCATACAATAGAGCTTTAAAAAGTTAACAATTAGAGCAATGTAGTCATTTCTATCTCCTAGCCCAGTCTGTTTCCCATTATTTTATTAAAAAGCTGGGAAATTTTTTTTGGTGGTACTGGGGTTTGAATCCTGGGTCTCCCACTTGCTAGCAGGTGCTCTTATCACTTGAACCATGTCCCCAGCCCTTTTTGCTTTAGGTATTTTTCAGATAGGGTTTGGTTTTTGCCTCAGACCTCAATCTTCCTACCTATGGCCTCATACATAGCTGGTGGTGTGCACCACCATGTCCAGTTTGTTTGTTGGGATGGGGTCTTGCGAACTTTTTTCCCCAAGCTGACCTAGAACTACCATCCTCTTCATCGCAACCTTCGAAGTAGCTGTAATCCCAGCTACTTGGGACGTATGAGCCATGGCTCCCAAGTGACAAATTTTTCTAGGATTGGTTTTCATCACATACCTTCTAACCTTGACCTATTGGTAATTATAGTTGTGCTATAGAATTGATTCTCCTAGGAGCCTAACAACAGAGGAGAAAAGAGAAAAGAAAACTGGGATCCACTCACCATGTTGAGGAACCCATGACTACTTCCCAATAGTGGCAGCCACTATCAATGAATATATTTCCTGCTGCCCCATAGCACCCCGTGCCACTAAACCTCTCTGGGGTATGGCTTTTCTTCAGAGAGCTTTCATCCTTCTCCATCTGCAATCCATCATTGGAGATCTTCAATTTCTTGTGAGTCATTTTGGGATCCAGTTTAAAGGGCTGGCCTAAAAAATGTAGGAAAAAGAACAAAGTATGATGAAGCGTTTGAGAATTGTACCTTTGTCCTGCAGAACCATCACTAGCAGGGGAGCCTCAATATGATGATCATTTTGGGGTCTGTACAAACTGCCTGCTGCTTAGATTATATTAAAGAAGCAGGCCAGAAGACACAGTTTACAGCTAAATAAGAATAGAAGTCATTCTACCATAAAATACCTTCATGGAGGCATTTATTTTCCCACTATGGGAAAAAACATGATCTCTCATATGAATATTTTGCTGGAAGTTACATCCAGGCATACAGGAACTATTAAACTATCCTCCATCATATATTGCCAAATTAAAAGGGATCTTTCAAAGTCTTGTGTCCTCAAATATGTTTTGTAATTTACTTCAGTGAGTGGTCTGAGATTGGGTAGATTTTAAGGAGTGTTATGTTTGAGGTGCGAAAATGTGAGAGAAACTGATGAGGCAATTGCTGCATGGTGGCAGAACAAAAGAAAAAACTTGAGAAGATCTCAACAAGAAGACAATTTTTTGGCTTCATGTAATTAGGCAACATGTAATTAGGCAAGTTTGTAAGAGTGATTGTTGCATCATCAAAGATCAGAGAAAACATCTATTGTGTAGGATCATTTACAACAAAGTTCCTTACAACCGTATTACCAAAGCATTGCTCCTGGGGGGCCAGTTGCTGGGTAAGGCAAGAGTTTTATTATACCAAATGCCTCTGTGGTGACATTGTTGACTAATCCAATGCCCATTCCCTACATTTTCTCTCTCACTCAATCCCAGCCTCCTTTGCTAACGGGGGTGGCTAATAAGATAGAATCAGTGATCAGACAGAGTGACAGAAACTTCAGGACAGTTTTTGTTTCTCTGATAAAAGTAATACCAATTATTTCCTTCTTTGTCCCATCTTGAAGTAAATACAGCATCTAGAGGTTGTGGTGGCCATCTTGGGCCATGTGGCGATAAGCCAATGCACAAAGGGAGAAGGAGCCTCTGCCTTCTCTGACATCACAGAGCTGCTGTACCAACTCTGACTGCCTACCTTCAAACTTCTTGCTGAAAGGGAAGGAGAGAGAGAGAGAGAGAGAGAGAGAGAGAGAGAGAGAGAGAACTATTCATTTAAGCTACTAACAAATATCATTAAGTTATGTTAGTTGCACTTTCTATTATAAACAGTCAAATCAAAAGCATTCCTGATATAGATTCTCTGTAGTAGAATCCTGCCAGATTATTACAGATAAAATGCCCTTTTACTCAATTGTCCCCCAAACATAGGGGTAAAAAGCAGAGAAAACCCCTTCACTAATATTCTACCAAGCTGTCTTTGTCCATAAATCCTCAGAAACACCAGAAAACTCCTTGCTCAAAGCACAAACTATAACAGTAAAGCTCATCTACCCAGTGCCACTGTTCTCATGCACTGCTGTGGGTGCCTGCTCAGGCTAAGTGGCCCCCCTGGCACAGAGAGGAAATCAGATCTTTCCTCTTGGAATCACCACAACGTACTGTTTGTTTTTAGTCGGGTGGGTTCACTGTTCCGGCTGCCTGCTTGGTTTATGGCTTTAACAATGAAGATGTAGCGTGTCCCACTCTGGAGTCCATGCACTGTGTAATGGTTCTGTTTAATGTTGGGCACAATCATCCAGCTATCCACTGAATTATATAGGCCTGTAAAGTGGGAAGAGACAAGGACATCAACCAACAAGTAAAAAAAGATAGATAAACACACTGAAAATTCAATCATAAGCCCCCCCCCAGAGCAAATTCATTTTGTTTTTAATCTTGGAAGATATAATGAAATGAACCTATGCTCATGATTCCACTATTATTTTATCCCACAGAGCTAGACTTGTACCAGGCTCCTCATTCCACTAGTAAAAAGTAGGCTACTTCAGCTTTGTGCCAAATAAAAGAGAAATGGCCACTACACCAAATCACAGTGTCATGACTCTTATGAAGTCTCTGGGTCTTTACCACAAATGTCCATTTCTCTGAGAGCTGAGTCTGGCCTTGTATGGATGGAGCAGTTCTGTGTAGAGCACCAAAGCATGGAAATTCAGAGCAGAAAGGACACCTATACACCAAATTTCCCTCATTTTACAAGTGGGAAACTAAGATGGAAGGAAGAAAAGTGACTTGTCCAAAGTCACAAACAGTTGGTGATAGTGTTGAAAGCAGAACACTGGAATTTTTTAATCCTAAGCCAGTGTTCTCCATACAACATCACAATTCATGGGGTGAATGACAACATGTCTTTCTCTCTGTAAGGTAATGAGGACTTCAGAGCTTATGACTCCATTCTTCCCCTCCATCCTCATCCTTACTTTCCAAATTTCCTGGGCTCCAAGAGAAGTCAAGGAGATGACATAATAGCACTACACATTCTGGCTCTGATTTCCATATTCTTTTGGGGTCAGGTGGGCTAGGGACACATTGTCTGTCAACTGGAATATTTTTCCTTCCAAGTAAGGAAAGGGATCAGAGATATGTCTCTACTTTTGAAAGTCTTTAGACTATAAACATTGACTTAACACAGGGGAAAATATACATAATTAAAAACATGTGTTTGGCCAGCTTTCAGTAAAAGAGGGACCCTTCTCTTCCGTTTATCATTTTTTAACCACAGTTCCACCAGAGGGTGGAAAGGGTAAGGAAAATGAGTAGTGAATTTAGTCACTTCTATGCAGCTCTAGTAAAGGACTTAGTGGGTTGGAAACTGGACATAATGGCATGAATGTCTTGCAAGAGATCTGATCGAAAGGGTTTTATAATTAATTTTGAGGAGATAGAAAAGGCCTAAATTAAAACTAGAAAAAAAAAGAAGCATAATGGGGAGGTGCCAACAGATACGCTATATTAAGAAAAATAAGATTGGTGGAGATGTTCAGTGATTCTTATGAACAAATAAAGATAAGGGCCAGGAACAATGTTTGAGGCCCTAACTATGTACCAATGGGGCACCAATGTACAGTATAAATCACAAACAACATGTGAAATTTTAATACAAAAAGGAAAATATGCAGTCTTACAAATTCCCTTCCAACAATACGAAAACAAACAAACAAATACAAATAAACATTATAATGAATTACTATGCACTGTGAAAAAAGAATGAGAACGATCTCCATGAATGGATACAGAATGATTTCCAGGATATAGAGCCAACTGAAAAAAGCTAATTGCACAAGAGCATATGCTGTGTGCTACTTGTTTGAGAGTAAGAAAGCATACTATATTTTCTTGTATTTACAAAACAACAGCAATAACAACAGGAAGTATAACCCAGAAAGCAATAAAGTTGTTCACCTACAAGGGATTAGGGTGGAGGAAAAGGATTAAAAGTATATGGGAGAGGGCTGGGGATGTAGCTCAGTGGTAGAGTGCTTGCTGAGCATGTGCAAGTTCCTGGTTTCAATTCCCAGCACTGCAAAAACAAAACAAAGAACAAGAACAAACAAACAAAAAGCAACAACAAAAGGATATGGGACAGAAGGACAGTTCTCTGAGTATGTTTTAAAATATATTTTCCCTTTAGCAAACATGCTGTTTCCTAAAAAATTAAATTCAAAACTGGGCATGGTGGTGCATGCCTGTAAATCCAACTACTCAGAAGGCAGAAACAGGAGGATCTCAAGTTGGAGGCCAACTCAGGTAAAAGTAATGAGACCCTATCTCAGAAACAAAATATAAACAAAAGGGCTGGGAGTATGGCTCAAGAGGTAGAACGTTTGCCTAGCATGCAAAACTTAAATTAAAAAATTAAAATTAAATTAACAAATTCAAAATTCAAGTCCAAAAAATTAAAGTTACAATTTCAAAAATTAAAATTAAACCAAAGATGAGAAAGGTGGAGACTAAAGGCAAAGTGAAACAAATAGACTCAAGTGCATTTCAAATAAAGAACAACCACAACAAAGCAGCAAGAGTAGGAAGAGAACTGCAAAGAAGTGCTCTACCACTGAGCTATAGCCCTGGAGCAAAGCGATTCTGAAAGTATTTTAGATGTTTTATGGGATTGTGCAATTGTTCGATGCGGACAAAGGAACATGCAAATATAGGATGAGAGAAGGCAAGAAAGAACTTGTGGGAATTCGGATGTGACCCTATGGCTTCTAAAATACAATCAGCTCTCCTTATCCTCAGGTTCTCAATCTGAGGATTCAACTAATGGGAGACCAAAAATATTTTTAAAAATTGTGTCTGTAATGAACATGTGTAGACTTTTTTCCTAGCATTATTCCCTAAATAATATAGTATAACAACTATTTACATTTCATTAGGTATTACAGATAATCTAGAAATGATTTATAGTATATAGAAAGAGATGTGTAGGTTATATGCAAATTCAACACCATTTTATGTAAGGGATTTGAGATTTGCAGATTTTGATATCTGAGGGAGGTCACAAAACCAACCCTCACATAAATACCTAGGGGTATATGTATTTTAACATTTTCATATAGATGTGCACATATGTGGAGTGTGTATGTATGCATGCATGTATACTATATGTGTACACATATGCTTACATATATGTGTATCTACTACCTAGGTCTTAGTATTTAATATCATTTTCCCACTAAAGGGCACCATTGCTCCTTGGAAAAATGGCTGGATTCAAGATTGGGACAGAATAAGTTCATACCGAGCTTAGTTATGCCAGAAAGTAAGGAAGTACTCATGATGATTGGAGAATGTCATAAGGAACCAGGAGTTACCTCAAAAGGCTCCCACTGGCTGTATCTGGACAATTTGGGCACCAAAATGAATAAAGACAGTAGACTATTATAAATGACTGATAAAATGGAATTAATGAATCCATACTGATAAATAAACAAATGAGGAGAAACAGGGAGTGGGTTTCTTGCTTACAGTAGAATGCTAAGTGCCAACTTGTAAATGTGGGAAGGAATACTCAGAAAAACCATCCCTTTGCAATCAGCAAAGATTGGAATAGAACAAGAATCATCAACTGATGCTAAAACAGTAGTAGTGTTGGGGTGATATGGGTTTAATGAGGAAACAAAGTATTTTCATGATCTTAAAGGATCACCACACAGATTATTAGTGGAAAAAGAAAAAACAGGAAATACACTGTGAAGAAATTGGATATCTTGACCAGGTGATCAAAGTTAGCATTAACAATGAAGGGCAAGTGGACATCATATGCCTCCAGATATGACACCCCCTTAGGACACGTCACTTATGCAATATTCCAGCCATGAATCCATGACCAGAATATAATCACGAGGAAACATCAGACAAACCCACAATGAGGAACAATAAAAGAAAGACATAAAGAGCACTTTTTTTGAGACAGGGTCTCACCAGGTAGCCCAGGATGGCCTCATACTCACATTCCTCCTGCCTTGGCCTCACAAATGCTGGGGTTACAGACATGCATCGATGCACTGACATTTTAAAAAGTCAATGTCATTAAAGATAAAGAAGGGCTGAAGAATATCTTCCACATTAAAGGAGGCTAAAGAGATATGACAACTTGAAACAATACCTGATACTAAAATATAAAGGACAATTTTGGATTCTTTATATGCCATGGTGAATATTATTAAGTCAATTGTCAAAATTAGAATATGAATGGTGGTTAGATGAAAGTGTTGCATCAATGTTAAATTTCTTAAAGTTGATAACTATTATAATTATGTTAGAGAATTTCCTTATTCTTAGGAAATATGCACTGAAGAATTTAAGGGTGGAAGGACATGACATATGCAATTTCCTCTCAAATGGTTCTGGAAAAAATAGAAGTCAGGCATTATGGTACATGCTTGCAATTCCGGCACTTAGGAGGCAGAGGTGGGAGGATCTTGAGTTTGAGCCCATCCTTGGCTACATAGCCAGTTCAAGGCCAGCCTGTCCTACATAGGGAGACCATGCCTCAAAAAATCAAGAGCTTGGGGTATAGTTCAGTGGCAGAGTGCTTGCCTGGCATATGCTTTTCAGCACAGAAAAAAAAGTAGAGATAGAGGATGTTAGCAAATGCTAATGGGGCAAAATATTAATGGTGAGTGAATCTGAATAAAGAATATATGGGTGTTCTTTGTGCTAGTGTTGCAATTTTCCTGTAATTTTGGAATCATTTCTAAACTTAAAAAGATAAATATATGATCCTCTAGTTCTCACTGAGACTGGGTGAGAGGGGACTTACACCTGAATGTTGGTAATGGAAGTATACCAGTTGTTCAAAAGGGAAACACCACAATAGGAAATTTATGAACCTGAGTATAAATACGTGATGGAGAGCATTGAGTGAGAATGAAAAGGTGAGGGAGTGCGTGTTCTATCTTTATGGCAGTATATTGTAGACTGCTTGGCCAGAGAGAAGTTATGGTCACTGCTTTTGGAATGTAAAACACAAAACTGAAACAGAAGAAAGATAATGCAGTAATCAGGAAGACAAACATCTGCTAGAATTGTCATTCAGCTAACATCATCATCTGAAACATTGGTTGAGATAATTTTAGTCTCAGAAGAAGTAGAAAAAAAGCTTGACATCAAGGAAGAAGTTGAAAAAAGAGGCAATAACTACTTCTCCAGACTTACTTCTGAGCTATAAGAAAGAAATTTCTGAATAAAGAAAATATGAAAAAAATCTCAAGGATAAATAGCTCTCAGAACTGGGGTTCAGTCAACAGTGGCAAGCCTGACTGGCAGGTAGGAGTGGGACCTCAAATCTTCTTAATATTTATTTCTTATAAGATAATTTCCCCCCAAAAAATAAATAAAATAAAATAGTTTCCCATTGCCAACTGAAACTTTGCTTCAAGCCTTTGCTTTTGTTCCTGTCCTATTGGACTTTTCTATCAATGATTGGAGGAAGACATAGAAGTCAGGCTGGGAAGGAAAGCAAATGTTTTAGAAGGTGAACTCTGGATCCAAAGGATCTTGACATGCTGGAATGAAGGGTCAAAGCTAACCAGATAAAATGTAATAGGGATAAATTCAAGGTGTCAAGTTTAAATTCAGACATTCAGTTGTATAGGATACAGGATTTGGAATGCACAGGAATTTTAATCAACTACATTCTCAGTAAACAGTGGTCAAATGGCTGCCCCCCAAAAAGGTACAAGGCAAGAAGGCAGCAGCTCATATACAAGAGAAATAATCCGGCTATCCTCTCTGGAGGTCAGATCACTCTTAGACTACTGTGCTCGCTTTTCTACAGCACACTTCATGAAGCAGTTTGACAAACAGAAGAGTGTCCATAAAAAGGATATCAGATAGTAAAGGGTCTGAAAACTGTGTTGCATGAGAAGCAGTCAAACTGAAGATGTCTAGCAACAAAGGAAAATTTGGAAGGGAAAATAGGAGTCACCTAAAATTATCTGAAGAAATATTATATGAAAGGTGGACTAGATTTGTTAATGAGGCACAAAGGCCAGACCTAGGACTAACTGGTAGCTGTGGTTTAATTCAAGGAACATAAAACTTCAAGTGTGTCAGGCTTAGGTTCCCATCTTGAATCCAACATTTTATACCTCTGTGACCTTGGGGAGCTCACTTAACTTAAACCTCAGTATCTGTAAAATAGAATCAATATAATTGATTTCATAAAGCTAAGTAAGAATTCACGAGGACTACATGAGATAATATATGTGGGAGTGTTTGTAAGTGACAAAGCATAACTCATATGCAAATTATTATCATTATCATTTATTAAGAGAAAGAAGCCTCTTATAATGAATCGCTGGCAATTATCTATAGCTATACAACAAAACTGGCTATTTTGTTAGAAGTGAGCACACCATCACTGGTAATGTTCCAGCACAGGCAGGACAATCATTTACTGGATGTCTGGCAGAAGAGAAGATTAGACTAGATGACTTCTAATGTCCATTACAACTCTAAGATGCTATGATCCTATCACTATTAAGAATTACACTTTAGGCTTTTCTTTTCAAATGACTATACAACCTTGAAAACAGGTGACAGCCTTTAGAAATTTGTCCCTTCTTGGACTTGTTTTCAGTCCTGGGAAATGATTACTCTCCTATATATGGAAAGGAAAGAAAGTACAGTTGCTGGCTCTAAGACTTTCCAGAACTTGCAGAGAAAAGTATGTCAGTGAGGTCTTAAAGTGTGCGACTTCTCTACCTGAAGAAACATCCAAGAACACTGCTACATGGGCCAAGTGGCTTAGGTTGGAACTGCACGAGGCAAGTGTTTTCAGTGCTGGACTTCCAAATGTCCTGTCATCTCCCCTTCCCAATACTGTCACAAAATAGAATTCTTCCCCTGTATTATCACAAAACAGGAAAAGGAAGCCTATAAAGGAGGGTTTTGTTGGGAAAATTCCTCTCATGGTGGCCTGCAAAGTCAGACATAAATGCAAAGTGCAAAGGTAAAAGAAAATATTAATTTGTAGCTATGCAAATGCAACTATAGGGTGGGAATCATTCCCAGTCTTGAACTCAGCCTTGATTCTGCCTTCATTTGTGTCCCCTTCACCCCCAGTACACAGAGAGAAACTTTTGATGCCTCTCCACTGGCAATGAATGAGTTAAATTCCTACCCTGCCTTACCTTGCTCCAATTCACCAGAAGGTGAAGCCATTGGCACATGTGAAACTAAAATATTGCTTTTTAAACATCTTTCACTATGTAGCCCACTGACATGTTTTTTTCTTTTGTTTTGTTTTTTGTTATTGTTATTGTGTTGTTTTTTGAGACAGGGTCTTGCTATGTAGCCCAGGCCAACCTTGAACTCATGATCCTCCTGCCTCATCCTCCCAAGTGCTGGGATTACAGGTATGCACCACCACACTCAGTTCTGGCATGTTTTATATTTACTGTAATTCTCTGTGGAAAGGGGGAAGGGATAAAGAGAAGAGTGACAGAGGCAGCAGGCTTGTCACATACAAATAGGTATGATAAAGGAAAAAATAGTGTTTGAATGTAATATATTTTATCATGATAATGAAGTGGAAGAAGAGTCAGAGAAAGTGATGTTTACAAACATGGAAATAGCAATGATGGTGCCTTAGCTACTCAGCAACAAATACTGAGCAGTGCTCTCCCTGGGGCAGTGGAGTGACATGGAGTAGTTGAGAATAAGGCTAAGGATTACATAAATGAATGGGAGTGGCCCCAGTGGCTGCCCAGCAAGGAAATACACAACTTGCTTGTCACCCAGCAGTAAGGTCTTCACAATACCCTGAGGAGCTTACACTGTCTATGAAAGACTATACTAAACAACCTAACATGTCTTACAAACACTTGCCTCGTGGCGCCCCGGCCAATCTTGAGCAGCTTACTGCTTCCTTACATTTCCTTATCTCTGGCCACAGGCCCCAACTACACCATGACTTACTGATGAAGTTAGCCTGGCCAGTGAATATGGTGTACTGAAGCTCATAGGAGCTGATGCTGAACTCATCATCTGAGATCCAGTGGACTGTAATGGTGTCATGGGAGGCAGTACAGAGTTCCTCTCGGATAGATGGTGGGTTTGGGGCTGTAAGAAAAAATAGAGGGAAAAAAGTAAGGAAAGCACATTCCTGAAATTTTACAATCCCTACTTTTCCTGTCTAACCCGACATCTCTTGGAGAGGTAGGGTTTGGTTTTTTGTTTCTTTGGTTCGGTTTTTCCCAGTACTGGGGATTGAACCCAGGAACTCACATATGCTACACAAGTGCTCTATCCTTAGCCCTGCAGAAATTTTCTTAGTAGAGAAACTGTAGATTGCAAGAACTATGCAACTTGAAGCAGAGTACTGAGACCTCAAACTCCCCCAAACCACTTTTGTTTCAATACTGAATATATTTAAGGCAAACAAATATGCCTGTTGTTGTGATGATTTCACCAGTTGTCTAGACTGCCTGTATAGACACATATAGATACTAGAGCAAAATAGTCACACAGTTTTCTTTTTACATGAACCTCAACCTATTTCTTTTTATTTCAAAGTAACTTTTAATGTATATATATGCATATATATATTTGATAGTAAATTCAATGCAAATTAATATGAGTTCTCCCAACTGTAAAATGGGGATGATAATTACCTTATTGATTTGTTCTGAGGATTAATGATATAAAGTTAATATAAAGTATCTAGCTCAAAGTAAGTATCCAATAAATAATAGCTCTGTTGATATAGTAACAAAATAGCTACAAAGTCATTGTGCATATATTCTTCTCATGAAATGATAATTCAATAATCCTGAAGGTAACCAGCATTTTTAACAAACTGGTTGCATCCCTTACTTTCTTTTTTTATTTTTTGCAGACATTTATTAACCTTTCTTTTAAACAATTTAACAATTGTACTCTGTCACTTCTGACAACTGGTTTTTTTTGTTTGTAAGCACCCTTTTGAAAGTTTATCTTTTGTTAAATATTATTAAAGTACTGTTACTGATAAGCCTTTGTTGTAAGCACAGTTTTGAAAGGTGCTTTGGCTCAACAGAACAACTGCATAACCACCACTTTCACCAGGCCATTGGGAGTGGGGACACTTCAATGCAACAGAAGACCTGTGGTTGGTTAATGTATCACTTGCATAATGTACTGTACCATGATTGGTATAAACATGAGGGGAGTGTTGTGACTGATGCAGACACCTTTATTCCCTCCCCCTTCCTGACAGGTGTTTCTTATAAGCAAAGTATGTCTTTAAAACTAACCCTCAGCCCTAATATCTGAGACTTTATATGATGCTTAGAGGAGATAAATATTTAACAGAACATCTTTCTTTTCTGTTACATGAACTAAAATACATTTTATCTAAAAAGATATATGCATCATTTTAAAGTTTATAAACATATTTTCCTGGTAAGCATTGTCCTTTGCAGATTATTTTAAACTAAAAGCACACCAAAAAAAATTTAATAGGCAGGAAATACAGTATTTTCACACCTGTTAAGTAGTCTAGCCCCTCCAACAGTTTCTTTTCTCTAGAAAAATCTAAAGCAAAGTTTTCAAAAGCATCATTAAAATTGATGTCTGGAATCAGAACTTGAGAAGATGCAGTTGCCATAGCAACCCTGAAAAAAAAAGAGAAGAAAGGTGCATCAATATACATCAAAATAGCTTGCAACCTTCATCTGGTGTTTGAGTTCTGGTTTAAGAAGGTGAAAATAAATGACCTGCAAGTGAAAATATCATATCTGTTCTTTTCCAGTGGAAACCATTTCAATTTTAATTGTCAGGAACCAATTAAGAGTTATACCATATTTATTCACATATGTTCACCCCTCAAACATACTCCCCCATCCTGTCTTAATTTTGAGAAGTAAATACAGGATTTTTTCCTCTTTGCATCATTTTCCATCTGGCAGGCAGCATCAAAACTAGACCTCTGAAGGCTTGGTAAGAGCAATTGGATTTTTTTTATCCCTCTTTATTCTTTCATGCTAATCAACAAACCAACATACTGGGTTAATGCCTTGGTTAATGCCTTCCCCTTAATACTGTCCATTGTTTGATCTCTTTTAATATTTGTATTTCAATTTATTATTCTCTAACTGTACATTCCCCAACTAATTCTAAAGTGAAGTTCATATTTTATATCTCTTATGTCTTCCATAGTTCCTAAAGTGGTGTTGGACACATAGTAAATAAACAATTATTAAATGAATAACTGAATGACTAACAATAACAATACAATTGCTAACATTTCAGTGATTAGTATAAACAAAGCATTGTGCATGCAATTTACATAAATTATCTCATTTACTCCTTACCATAACCCTGCATAGTAGATGCTATTTCTATTTTGCAAGTGAGAAAGCTGGCACATTGAAAAGTTAAGTTTCCAAGATTACACAACCAGAAAAGATCAAAACATAATTGAACCCATGTCTGTCTGATTCTAAACTCTGTACCCATAATTATTTATATTGTTTCTTTTTAAAAAAGATACTTCAGCAGTTCTTAACCATGGTTACACATCAGAATAAACTGATTTTACCAAAAATCTTCACATTTTGGTCCTGTGTCAGACCTTCTGAATCAGGGCGGATAAAGACTTTGCATATGCAAATGACAAGGTATAAAGACATTGACTTGGCAACAACATTGTAGGTTAAAGTGAAAGGAAGAAGCATGGAGTGAAGAAAGATCCAGAGGAAATGTTATGGTGAACCAGTTGTAAGGCGATAAGAGGTTGAACAAATATACACATCTACAGACAACAGGTCTTGGTTATTTCTGAAAAAGGAGATGTTTCAGGAATAAACTGCGGACCAGTATAAACAAATGAAAGATTAACATAGTACAATCTTAAGGTCTCACACTGAACAGCAAGTTTTTAGGATTAGATGAGTAAAAAGAGAATAACTTCATTAGGGTCAGAGTTCAGCCAGAAAATTAGGTCAGGAAAATCCTTCCTGGCCTCCCCAGTCTTTCTTTCTTTTCTTTTCTCTTTCTCTCTTTCTTTCTTTCTTTTCCTTCCTTCCTTCCTTTCTCTCTTTCCTTACTTCCTTCTTTCCTTCTTTCTATCTTGCTTTCTTTCCCTCCCTCCTTCTCTTCTCTTCTCTCTCTCTCTCTCGCTCACTCTCTCTCTCTTTCCTTCTTCCATTCATCCAATAGTGTTAATAAAACTAATGTGCCTGGCGCTGTGCTGGGCACTAGAAATACACAGGGAAAACAAGTTTGCTATGGTCCTTACCCCCACAGAACTCACAGATCATGAAGGATAAAGACATTAAATAGGCAATACAAAGGGAATAGAACATGTACCAGAGACACTTAGCCAAAACTTGGGAGCTAGGGTAATCTTCCAGCAGAACTTATTTTAAGCAGTGACCTATATGGTGAATATAGCTAAACAAAAGCTATGCGGATGTTTTGTCTTCTCACTTGCCTGAAGGGTACAGAATGAGACAAAATCATGCAGGACCTAGGGATAGAGGAATGGCTTAAGTGGTAGAGTGCCTGCCTAGCAAGCATATGATATGAGGCCCTGAGTTCAAACCCCAGTACTGCCAAAGTCACACAGGTCCTTATAGGCTGTGTGGCAAACTTTGGCCTTTATCCTAAGAACAATGGGAGCCACGGGAGCATTTCAGGTAGAGGAGTAATATTCTCAAATTTATTTTTTAAGAAGAGTTTTATGGCTATAGTAGACTGGAAGGGGTCAAAATTGGAAGCAGGTAGGCCAGATTTTTATGTTGCCTTGGAATGAGCAGCAAGTAAAGTGGTAATGTGAACGTAGACAAAACAGAAAGAGTTGAATCAAAACAAATGGTCAATAAATATATTTAAAAGCCCAACTATATGAGAAATCAAAAGAACATAAATTAAAATGAGATAGAATTTAAGTTATAGATAATGACAATATAGGAGCATCTTATGCCTATATTAAAGAATGCCTACATATTTTATTAAGAATGAAATTGCTAGGCATTTTTGAGAGTAATTTAACATTAAATATCAAAATAGTTTAAAGCTAAATATTCTTTAACATCACAGTTTTACTTCATAAAATTTTTACTAAGGTAATAATAGAGATATATGTAAAGATATAACTACAAGAGCACTCAACATACCATATGTAATTTAATTGTCTAACAATGGAAACTGAGTTAAGTTTTGTATTATACATCAAAAGATGAAACATCATGAGAACACTGGAAGTAAGGTTTTATAACAATATGGGGGAAACTTTGTAATATATTCTATTACATAATATATAGATATATAAAATAGACAGATATAATATAGATATATTATATAATATAATTAAGTATATACAGCATGACTTTATGTTTATGACATAAAGATACCCATTTCCAAATGTTAATGGCAACTGGAAGGTTAAGAATGAAGTTAAAAGTGACATTGTGGGCATGTGTGCTCAGTTCTTTTGCAACTGTCTCTGTATGTGTTATGTAAAACATAATATTAACATCTTGTTGCAATCTCTGGAGGTCTTGATATTAGGCTTAATATAGTAAGTGTCATTTGTAAGGAGAACGGAATACCTCTCTCAACTAAAATTTAACTTTATCTGAAGTCATGGTGCCTTAACACAATATAATGAGTAATGGTGGGGAGGAATTTTGGATTCTGTGAAAGACTAGTGAGAAAGATATTTAGGTTGGGCAGATGATTCTCAAGTCATAGCACATAGGCAGCCATCTATTCCACCTACTTGAGCCTATGGAAAAGAAAATTTCCATAGAGATTTAGGAGCCATCAATATGGCAGTTGATGGTAATTCAATGGTAATTAAGCTCTAGGAGCCAATGGGTTTGCAAGGAGAATTGTATCCTAAAACTTAAACAAAGAGAACCACAGAATTAAAAAAAATAGACCAAGGAGGAGTTGTTCAAAGAGGCAAAAGAATTCTGATAAGGCTGGGCCTCATATCACCGCTATAATCTTAGAGGCAGATCTAGAGGATCAAAGAAAGTACCAGGCCTGGCAAACATCCCATCTCAATCAATAAAAAGCTGGGTGTGGTGGTGCATATGTGTCATCCCAGCTACGCAGGAAGCTTAACTAGGAATCATGGCCCAAGCACAAAATCGAGACTCTATTTAAAAAATGACTAAAGCAAAAAGGGTTGTGGCATGGTTCGAGTGGCAGAGTGCCTGCCTCGCAACTGCAGGGCCCTGAGTTCAAACCCCAATACCACAAAAAAAAAAGATAGGTAAGAAGGAAACCTAGAGTGATCATGGAAGGGCAGAGACACTGTAAGTAAAATGGTCAGTAGGGACAAATGCTTTTGAGAGATCAAGAAAGATGAAAGGGAAAGATGAAACAGGGATTGTCTATTATATTTACCAACAAGGTCTCCATTTGATGATGACCTTGAAAAGAACACTTTCAACCACATGGAGATGGGAGAAAATATTCAGATTGAAGAGTGAGTGGGGAAAATTAAATACAGAGGTTTAAATATATGTTTTAGCACTGCTTTCATGAAATCCCACTGAAGTGACAAAGAATATAATGTCATAAATCCACAAAGACAAAAAGAATGGAAAAAGAGATGCCAGCAATTAAGATTGTCAATAAATGTTTGGAAGCTAGAAATGGGGGATGTGTGGTAACCAATACCAGACCAGAGAAAGCTGGATTAGGAAGCCAACAACATCAAGCTGATTTAGTGCCACATAGTTGAAAGTTTGCATGAGGAATAGCTAGACCCCCAAATTCACTCAGAGTCTACCTTTCCCTCATTCTGGCAGGAGATTCGAGGTTGACTTCCTACAGAGCTTTGACATTATACTAACAGCAGTCTTCAAACTCTCAGCTCCCTTTCCCTGCTTGGCTCCCAGAATGCTGGCAGCCAGGCTTATAACCTCCACTCCTCACCAAAAGCTGAAAAAACATTCTCTACAGTATAATCTTACAGCAAAGTTCACCAAACTGACACCTCCCACACATACCTCAGAGTTTCCAGGTACCTTTTAGTTCTTAAATTTAAAAAGGCAGCCAAGAGCTTACCAGACATTTTAGGAAGGACAGAAATGAAAACAAACTAACAGAGAAAAGCAACTTGGAGTAAACCAAGGCAATGCAGGGTTTTGAAAAAATAAACTTTTAAAAAATAAAAATATTCTCAGAAGACAAGTAAATGGTTGTGTCTACAAAGCAACAATGATATACTAAAAAGAAACAAAAATCAGGAAAGGGCTCTTGTAAAGAAAAATAAGGATATTGAAACTTAAATTTTGATACAGAGATTGGATGGAAAAGTAGGGAAATATCTTAGACACTAAAACAAGAAGACAAAGTCATGGAAAATAGGAAAGACAAGATTTTTTTACATTAAGAAGAAAAATCTAAGATGTCCAATATCTGATTAATTAGACTCTCAGAAAGGAATAAAAGAGAGGATAGGGAAGAGGAAGTATTAGCAAATAATACAAGAATAATTTCCATGGGCTGGTGGAGTGACTCAAGTGGTAAGAGCACCTGCCTAGCAAGTGTGAGGCCATGAGTTCAAACTCCAGTGCTGCCAAAAAAAAATTCCAGAAACAGGTCACTAGTCTTCAGATAGGAAAGACACACTGAGTATCCAGACAAGATGAATGTTCTGTGATGTACAACCAAGGCAAATCTGGGTGAAATTTTGGGAAAAAAATGGCTTAAAGGTAAGTTCTTAAAAGTATCTATATTTTGATGGCTGTTATCAAAAAGATGAAAGACAACAAATGTTGACAAGGATGTAGGGAAAAGGAGCCCTTTCTCACTGGTAGTGAGAATGTAATTAGTACAGCCATTATAACAAACTGTGTGGACGTTCCTCAGAGAACCAAAAGCAGAACTACTATATGATCCAACAATCCCACTTCCCAGTATGTATCTAAAGGAATTGAGGGGGAGCAGAGGGAGAGGGAGTAGGTAAGGGAGGGGGCAGGGGGAAGGGGGGAGAAATGACCCAAACATTGTATGCACATATGGATAAAAGAAAAAAAAGGAATTGAAATCAATATGTTGAAGAGATACCTGCACTCCCATATTCACTGCAACATTATTCACAATAGTCAAGATACAGAATTAATCTAAGTTTTTGTCTATGGATGAATAGATGATGAAAATGTGGCATAAATACACAATGGAATACTATTCAGCCTTAAAAAGAAGGAAATCCTGCCATTTGGGACAGCATGGACCAACCAGGAGGATATTATGCTAAGTGAAACAAGCGAGGCACAGAAAGGCAATTATCGCATGATCTCACAGATAAAATATAAAATAAAAAAGTCAAGCTAATAGAAGTTAAGAATAGAATAGAGGTTACCAAAAGTAGATGGGAAGAGGAAGGGAACGTGGAGTTCTTGCTCAAAAAGCACAAAGTTTCAATTAGACTGGAGGAATATTTTTTAAGATTTATTACATAGCAGAGTAACTATAGTTAATAATTATATATTGTATATTTCAAAATAGCTAAGAGCAATTTCAAATGTTCCACCACAAAAAACAAGTGAGGGAAGTATTTGTTAGCCAGCATTATTTAATCATCTGACATTGCAAACATATATCAAAACGTTATATTGGACCCCATGAATGTATATAATTATGATTTGTCAATCTAAAATATTATTTTTAAAAAGCGTCTAGATTTTTTAAGATATAAGTCACTTTCAAAAAAATCAGGAATCAAAGTGGCAGTACACTTCTCAATACAGTACTAGAGGTCAGGAGAAAATGGAGCCATACTTTGAGAAGTATAAAGGAAATTATTTCCAACCTGTGAAGTGTAAAAATTAATTTAAAATGTTTTAGACAAAAAATTCTTAAAATTTTTCTCTATATGTCCTTTTTCTTAAGAAATTATGAGGGAATGTGTTTTTAAAAACTAAGGGATTAAAATTGTGCAGGAAAAAGAAATCCATGCAGAGCCTGACACTCTATCGCTGAATATATCCCCAGCCCTTCACCTAACAAATTTTAAAAGCAAGACCTGAAAGGATCAAGCTATTTTTCAAGTAACTTACTGTGTCCTAGAGCAAAGTTGAAGGATATTTATGAGAATACAAAAATATACAGCAACCAACAAGAGAAAATTCACAAAGTCTAGCATCTAATTAAAAATTACCAGACATGGACTGGGGACTTGATTCAAGTGGTAGAGAACCTGCCTAGCAACATGAGGCCCCAAGTTCAAACTCCAGTATTTCCAAAAAAAAGCATACATACAAAGAATACAACCATATAGAGGAGAAAAAGCAATCAGCTGAAACTGTTAGAATTAGCAGACAAGGACATTAAAAACAGTTATTATAAGTGTATTTCATACATTTATAAAGCTAGAGGAAAGACTGAATATTTTAAGTAGATACATGGAAGATATTTAAAAATGACCCAAAAACTTCTAGAGATGGAAACTATGACATCTGAGATAAAAAATACATCGGAGAGCTTAACAGCAGATTACACATTAGAGAAGAAAAGGTTAATGAACTTAAAGAATTATCAATAGAAGCCACACAGAAAAAAGACTCGAAAAAAAGAACAGAGCATCAGTGAACTATAGGACAACTTAAAACAGCCTAATACACATGCGATTGGAGTTCTTGGAGTGCTCAAAGTAGAGGAAGGACATAACCTAAAAATGTTTAAAGAAATAGTGGCTGAAAAATATTGCCAAATTTGCAGAAGTCAATTGCTAATATCTAAAATTGAAAAAAAATTAAAATATCAATGTAAGGATGCCATTTAGAAATGTAAAAATCATGCCAGTTGAAATATCTAATAAAGTTAAAATTGCTTGGCTTTGTTGTAAAAATGTAGATGACAGTGCTTAGAGTCCCTAGATTTGAATCCTCTCTGTGCCCCTTACTAGTTGAGTGATCTTATAAGTGGCTTAAGCTCTCTGAGCCTTGCTGTCTCATTTGAAAAAAATGGAGAAATAGTAGTGTCTATCTTATAAGATTTACATGAGTATTAAATGTGTTAATATTTATAAAGGCTTAAAATAAAACTAAATGTGTTTGATATTATTCATTGAACAGAAATTGGAAAGGAGGAAATCAATATTTCTTGCAATATGATTTGCTGTAATATTTTACTTTCTGTGTACAAAGTGTTGCTTTTACACAAATAAGCTTTAAATATTTAATGAGAATAAATTAAGGGTGAGAAAGCAAAGTCTTTCAAGCAGTTTGCTGTGAAAGGAAAAAGAGGAATAGGTTGACAGCTAGAGGGGATATGAGATAAAGGAAAGTTATGGGTTTTTTTGGTTTGGTTTTGTTTTCAAGTAGGAGAGTCATCAGTGGATTTAAAAGTGGACGTGAAATCAATTACAGAGTCTAAGGGGACTTGGGGGTGCAGGAGAGGGAAAGAGAATGTTAGACTGAAAAAGAGCATCTGTGTATGAGATAATATAATGCAATGCACTTTAAGGTATTGAATAATAGTGGAGCAGGGAGACAGAGAAACAGTAAGTAATAAGAGGGGGTTAATCTGATATATGCTTGTCTGAAATACCAAAGCCAACCCCCCTTAAACAATCAATATACACTTTAAAAAACAGATAGGAACTGCCCAAACAGGTCCTGTCTGGGGGTGGGTACCTGTGAGAGAAGGAGGGCAAAAAGAGAGGGCAAAGGAGGGCAAATATAGTAAATGTATTTTGTATTCATATATGAAAATAAAACAGTGAAATCTGTTGAAATTGTTCTAAGAAGGGGGAGATGAGGGAGAATGATGGAGGGGTGAGTTTAATTAAGACATATTGTAAGCATATAAGCAAATATCACAATGCATCCCCCTGTACAACTATTATATGCTAATAAAAAATTTAAAAATAAAAATAAATACAAAGAGGGCATGTGGCCAAAGCACAAACGAAGGGACATCTCTTCCATTATAACCATAAGAAAGGTGGAAGTAATAGATGTGTCCAGCCATTTTGGTATGAGAAGTTGAGGAATTTATCACTCCATACCTACTGTTATCTGTAAAATAATACTTGCTAAGCACAAGCAGAAAATGGCAGGGTTGGAATTTTGAGATGAGAACAAAATATTTGAAATACCCATTGTGGAGATGAGTTTAAAAGAAAACTGACCAAAGCAACACAGACAGATTTCAGGTCAGCACTGAGGGTCCGGGTGAGATTAGAAGCCAAAAATTTGTGGTGCAGTAGTACCAACCTTTTTGGCTGTGTGACTTTCTCTAGCAAGCCTCTTCAACTCAAATATAGGCATGGAAAAAGTGGGAACAGTTGGACATATTCAGGGCTGGAATTTTATCAAGATGGTGTGATAAAAGGACAATGGGCAACAGAATTAGGCAGATTGAAAATAAAGTAGCTGAAGTGAGAAATCACAGACACTAAATAAGCATTAAAAGCTGAAGACAGGAGGTAGCTGGTAGGTAGGGAGAAAGTATAGGAGTCAGGACTTACAGGTCTCAATTAAATTGAATAGATATTTTTAAGGAGTAAAGAGAGTTACTAGCATGGAGATTATGGTTAGAAAGTAGGATGCAATTCAGAGTGATGAGGTTCAACCTGTGGTCGATGGAAGTAGGTGGATGAAATGGAACATCCCTCTGGAGGAAGGGATGTCAAGGAGGCTAGATGTCTAGAACATTAGATGGGTAAACCAAGTAGGTGCTGTTGAAGTCACCCATAATGATGGCAGAGGTAAAAAAGAGGAAGATTGTGAACCTGGAACAGAAGTCTTCACTAAGTGTTAGAGAGCTATAAGGAGGTCAAATCTGACCTAATGATCCAGTGCAGTCCCCTGAAACCTTGGTGACCATACTAAACAATGTGTCATTTTAGACCATGAACTCTTTGCCAGTGGTTTCTGGATAGATTTCTAAGGATCCAAGAGTCCTGTGAAATTGTATACAAAATTACCTGTGTATGTATTTAAAATGCATTTTCCCTCCTCTGGAATAAAGTTCATTACTTTCACCAGATTTTCAAAATAGTGAGTGATTAAATAATAATAGCTCCAAATGAAGAATTAAATGAAAACAATATAGATAGCACATAAACTTAGAAACAGCACAACCTATCAATGTAGACAAAAGTTTCTCTTCCCCTATACCATTACCATCATACAGAGTTCAAGCCCTCAGTGAGCAGAAAGGAGAGAAGGCAGTAGCTAGGCCTCATCCTTAGCTGTGCATTAAAATAACTGGTAGGTTGCAAAGATGGAGAAAAGGGTCCAGAAATCCACAGAGCAATTTACCACTAAGGCTCAATAATTACCTAGCTGGTAAAAACTTCGTGTGGCAGCTGCTATATATACATGCCTAGACAGAATTAAGTGAGTTTATGTAGGCCCCCTTTTCACAAGAGCAGGCATTTCAAAATAATATAAGGACCCCACCTCTCAGCAATATTTTTTGCAGACTGTAGAAACCGTGCCTGGTCATTTTCTTTCAGGATATGTTCAGCTTGGTTGATAAGGACTGTTGACCGTTCAAGACACTGACGGCAATTAGCAACTTGCTGTGCCAACTTTCTCAGTTTCATAACCTTAAAGGAATTAATAAAAGAAAAAATAAGATAAGACATACAGTGCTTAATTTAAAACAATAAAACAACAAGAGGGAGATCTGCTGAAGTGGTTCTAAAACTAAGGCTTTAAAGAAAAATTCAAAATAAAAATGCAAAAAGAAATCCTACCATCCGGAGATCATCCAACTTGCATTTTGTTGTAAATATATTTAATAAAAACTACCCCATTTTTCTTTACAAGTATCTACATTTCTATGTATGCATTTCTCTTAATATCTTTATGCATACCTGTGTATTCACATATCTGTATTCTGGGAAACTTCAATTCCTGGGTTAGCTGGAACTACCCAGTTGGGCACAAAGTATTGGTCATCAAGCCAGGCTCTCATAACTTTTCACACTGTACCCATAGCAGTTTATAATCACTAACAGTGACCAGCAGGCCAACAAGCCTAAAACCATACAGCTGCATGGAGGCTCACACCTGACCATTTTGACCATGATCCTTCAGTTCCCAGGTTAGAAACCTAGGAGTCTTCCTTAACTCTTCTCTCTCTCTCTTATCTTTTATATCTAATTAGTTGGGTAATTCCTATCATTATCTTGCTAGTAATGCCTACAGTGTTATTTCCTTTCATGTGTGCTGTCATTACTTTGGTTTAGGTCTTCAGTAACTCTTACCAAGAATCATTCCATAAGCCTTCTAAATTGCTTCTCTGACTTCCACATCATCCCATTCTGATCTTCCCTGCAAACCTCTGCCATATCTATCAGTCTTAACACTTTCCAAGGAGTTAGATTGGCTTCTCAACACCTTTCAGATTAAGTCTGATGTGCTCATACTGGCATTTACGAACCTTCCATAACAGTGGCTCACATTTCTACCATTAAGTTTTCTTTTTCTTTATTAAATGACTTATACAACAGCAAAGCACCCAAATGCTAAGTGTAAAAATCAATTAATTTTTTCATATATGTATGCCCATGTAACCAACAACTGGGTCAAAGTATAGAATGTTTCCATCATCCAGAATTGCCATCAGTTTATTTGGTTCATAGTACTAAGCCAAACATTGCTTCTTCTTTGCCTTTCCCTACAACTTCAATTCTTCTCGGTTTCATAATCCAAGTTAAAGTGCAAACCATCAGGACCAAACTCTGACATTCACAAAAAAAAAAAAGTCAGCTCTTCCTTGGCCTCACTGAAGTGCTGTGCTTTACCTTTGTCTCTTTGATTTTGACAGCAATCATTTGCTTCCTCTGCTGGATGATCTCTACCAACTCGTCACATTCTTCCATAAGTTTTGCCTCATGCATAGCAGTATTCACCTGCCAAAAAAGTCCAGAATATTACACAGTGATTGTTGCCTTTGTCTTCTGCTGGCTCTAAAAGGTTTGGACTGATAGCTAAACATGCACAACTTCTTCCATACCTCCCTCGATAAGATCCACTCCTAGAAGAAGAGTAGAGATGATGATATTAATGATGCAAGGGCATTGAAGCACCACAGATAGGAAGCTCTCCGGGCCTCTGGTAGATCATGATGGTTAATGGAAGGCTGGGCAGAAGGACAGATGAGATGGGGGTATGTTATTCCCACTGTGCAATTCCCTTTACTCCAGCACCCTGTCCTCCTGCTGTTCATTTGAAAAGAGGGTAAGGTAAGGAGATTCATGTCTGTCAAGAAAAGAGGATCCTCCTCCACAGGCACAATAATATTAAGATAAAATTATAAGAACTGTCCCAACAAAAATGCTTTATTTTGCCTTGTTCTTTTCTGCTTTCAAATACAAGAATTGCAGATATATTTTCACATTAAATTTATGAATGCATAGATATTTATTGCATAGTTATCATGTTTTATTGGCATTTCTTGCCTTGGAGAAAAAATTCTGTCCAGCATATAAATACCTTTCCTATTTTGAGATACTAGCTATATCAAAATATCTCTACTGCAAAGTCAGGGTGGGGTTGAAAAAAAGCCACTATTCTATTGTCTTTCCATGGACTGATCTCCCCATTCTTCACATCTGTATTACTAATGACATTTAATAGTAGAGAGCCCCCAGGAGGGGCTAAAATGGGCCCCAAAATGTAAAGGGAAAGGAACTAACACCTTTCAAACACTTAGCATGCCAAGCACTTTATAGATGAATATTTCATGTAATCAAATTATTGTTATAAGTTTATAATATAGGATTTCACAGATGGGGAAACTGGGGCTGTGAGAATTTTAGAGTCTTGCTCCAAATCACAATCAGAGTTCTGTTAAGTGAAACTATGCTGGCTGGGTAGGCAGATGTGGTTCAGTTCCATTTCAGGTGCACACAGAGCAGTCACACAGGAAGCACAATCATTCCAAGAGTCTATTCAAGGACCACTTGAGCAGAGCTCTAGAAGGCTGAGGAACAGACAACAGGTTACTTGAACACATCAAAACTCAAGGGGCTAAATGTGCTTCATTAGCAGGGGAGGGTTGCATTTCCGGCTACTATCTTTTCATAAAGTTCATATGCGTACTACTCCAGTAAAAATATCTGGACTCTGGACTCTGTTGTCTCCTCTCTCCTTCTTAAGGTCCCTGCTAGATAATTTTCTTTTTCTTACTTAACCAAAATAAAATACCTTTGCTAGTGAATGACAACCTTATTTTGCTTTATTCACACTTTTCAGGAGAAATGCCACAGTGGAGCTTCTTATTCCGAATAAACAGCCCTTCTGGCCATTCTTTTTTTCTCAGACTCCTCTCCCTTTCCTTAAATTGGCTCTACCTTTCCAAGGCAGACATATTACCATCTCAAGGAGCTCCCACTCATCAGAGAAGAAGAGATTCTTTAAGTTTTCCCTGGATCATTGCTTAGAACATCTTGAAACACAGATACTTTCCATTTATAGTTTGTTTTTCAGGTTGCTGTGGTGTAGTGCACAATATGTAGTACATTATTCCTTGTAATTTAGTCCTTGGACTAATACACTTGTATTCCAGGCACTACTCTTGTCAATTTACACATTCAGCTCTCTCAATCCTCAATACCATATTCCTATTTGACAGATAAGGAAACCTGAGCACAGAGAGATTAAGTGGCTTGCTGAAGTCTACATGGGTAGCATAGAGATGAGTTTTGGATCCAGGGAGTTCAACTCGAGACCACACATTTTACCCATTGCACATACCACCTCTCCAGGCTAGTGTAACAACATCCTTGTCTTCAGTTTCTGACAATCATTATCTCTTTTGCACATCCACCTTTCTTCTGACATCCATTTTTCTTTAGTCATTTCAGACTCCACTGTTCCCCCAGAAGGCCATGAACTTTCATGTCCTGATGTTTGCCTGAGATTATCCTTTCACTAGGAAAGGCAGGTCTTCATTTAATGAACAAAGTTCTACTTACCTTTCAAAGCGCTACTCAATGATGTCACTTCTGTAACTTTTCCTCAGCTGCCTATACACAATCTGTTGGTCCCCTATTTATATTTCCACAGCACTTTTATATAATTTAGTAATATAATTTACTATCTTATGTCATAATAATTGTATTAGTCTGACTTCCCCAATTAATTATGAATTCTGGATGTCAGAGAACGTGTTTTATTTGACTTTATCTCCAATACAGTGACTAGCACACAGTATATATTAAGTAAATACCTGTTGGACTGAATTGAATGGTGAAAAAGTATCTTTTACTGCTTGTTAGACATGTCCTCTTGGATGCTCAAGTTACCCTAAACTCTGAATACTAAATCTAAAAATGAATTTACCATCTTCTCAGCAAATCTGCCATCTACCTCTGACTTACTATTTTTTGTCAATGCTACTATTACTATTTGCAGTTCTTTACACTCAATAATACTTTGATTTCTCCTTCTCCCTCATCCCCCATATAAATTCACAATAGTCCCAAAGTCCTTCTCTCTTTTTCTTTTTGAACTCACTAAAGTTCCTCTGGTAATAAAATAAGGATCTGAGCCAAGAAACCAATAAATTGATGCCCATCACCCTTTGAGCTACTATTTTAACTAACTAATTTCCTTGACTAAGCTCTCTACCTCCAGAATCTTTCCTTTGCCAACATCCATGTAATTCTTCCTTGACCCAGAAGCCAGGAAAAATCATTACCTTCTTCATCATCAAATATATGCTAAGCATCTTTGTGTTCAATGCATTATGCTAAGGCCTTGACCTCAATTAATTTGAAATGTAGATGGGGAAGAGCCACAAACATAAAACAATCCAATCAAGATACCGTACATTAAATACAATTGAATGATGTAGACTATAATCTCAGAATTTAAAAGGAAAGATCATATTCTTAGTGGGCAAGTGAATTGAACATTAAAGATGGAATAAGACTTGGATTTAAAAGGTAGGAGGGAAAGAAATTTCAAATCAAGCAGTAAGGTTTGAATAAGATACGGTGCTGCCAAACTGGACAGTCAGGAATGGTGGCTCAAGCCTCTAATCCTAGTATTTGGAGGTAGATATTGAGAAGATCATGGTTTGAGCTGGTTTGAGGCCAGCAGGAGCGGGGAGAATCTCAAGACTTCATCTTAAAATGTCTGGGTGTGGTGGCATGTGCCTGTCATCCCAGCTATGTGGGAAAGCACAATTAGGAGGATCACAATTCAGGCAGGCCTGGGTATAAAGTAAAATAACCAACACAAAAAAGGTTGACAGAGTGGCTCAAGTGGTAGAGTGTCTGCTTAACAAGTGTAAGATCCTGAGTTCAATCCCCAGTACAGCCAAAAAAAATCCATTCTGCTAAACTTTATTCTTTAGGCAAAACTGAAATATTTTTGAGTAGAGGGAAGGTAAGGTGGTGAAAGGATGACCACACTTAACTTTTTTTAAGAAGACTTGGGATTGATTTGATGGGTTATTGGAAAGCTTGAGGACAATTTAGGAGGCTACTGTGATGTGAACGGGCCTAGGCAAGGAGGCTAACGAGAACGGAAAGGAAAAGTCAAATATGAGAAGTCCTTCCTTGCTCAAAATCTTCAACCAGACCGCAAGCTTCTTAAGGAAAGGTTTTCCATACCTGGCACAGTGCCTTACTCATAATCAATACTTAGGAAACATTTGCTGACTGCTTTGGCACAGTAAAATATCAAAATAAGAATGCCAAACCTTAGACAATATACTCTAGTAAAATATTTTGTAGAGAAAATCTAGGCTGAAGTGCGGGAGCTAGGGTGGAGAGGGGTTTGTGGACATTGGCATCTGGGGAGATAAAACAACCAAGCACAGCAAGTAGAGCAGAAAGTTGGCTTAAAAAGCAAAATCGCAAACTAAAGGCAAAGCAGTGACATTAAAATATTTCCATGTCAAGAAGCAGCCCAAAAGAGCAGGATCTTGAAGTGTTTTCTGAACAAGAAATACTCTAGGGAAAAACTGTCTTCATCATGTGGATAAAACAACTCAAATTGCTTGGAAAGTGCTTGAAAACCCTGGTATTTTGTTTGCAGTTTTGCTGGAAAATGCAGTAAGATATTTTATGTGTATGTTAACCCTTAGTTGAAAATAATTGGGGTTACCTTGTTAAATGTCCTTGTTTGCTTGGTTGGTTTGTAGAAGATCCCAGCACTCTATTTGACCTCTTTGATCTTTATTTTGGGTTAGAGGGTTTGACTAAATGGTTTCACACTACAGAAAAATATAACCTCCTTGATGGTTGGTGGAGTGGCCCACGTGGTAGGGTGCCTGCTTAGCAAGCGTGAGGCACTGAGTTCAAACTCCAGTACTGCCTATATATCTTCCTTGAAAAATACCATTAGGGCAATTTTGGCAACCTACTTGTGTGAATCCACCCTCCTCAAAAAGACTTAGAGAGAGGCAGTTTGCAATGTTTAAGACTAAGTATACCAGGGCCCAGGACTTGGCATGGTGGCACGTGTCTACAATCCCAGCTATTTAGTTTTTTTTTTTTTATTCATATGTGCATACAAGGCTTGGTTCATTTCTCCCCCCTGCCCCCACCCCCTCCCTTACCATCCACTCCGCCCCCTCCCTCTCCCCCCCACCCCCTCAATACCCAGCAGAAACTATTTTGCCCTTATTTCTAATTTTGTTGTAGAGAGAGTATAAGCAATAATAGGAAGGAACAAGGGTTTTTGCTGGTTGAGATAAGGATAGCTATACAGGGCATTGACTCACATTGATTTCCTGTGCGTGGGTGTTACCTTCTAGGTTAATTCTTTTTGATCTAACCTTTTCTCTAGTACCTGTTCCCCTTTTCCTATTGGCCTCAGTTGCTTTTAAGGTATCAGCTTTAGTTTCTCTGCGTTAAGGCAACAAATGCTAGCTAATGTTTTTAGGTGTCTTACCTAT